GTCTGTGTATCTTGTTTGGATTATTGTTTGGATGTTTGGATCACACTGGTAAATAAACTGCACTTGGGTTCTCATTACGCTCGCCTTCAGTGGATGATTCGTTACATATATTTGCAAGTACATTTTTAAGTAATTATTATTTTTAAAATTTGAAGTACACTACCTTCAATACAATTAAGGAAAAAAATTAAGTAAAAAAAAAAAAAACAGTATAAAGCCCAAGTTTATAAATGAAATGTAAAATATTTATTTGTATTTTATTTATTTATATAGTCTCTTCAGATTTTAGAGAATGCACCCTTTATCAGAGAGGTGCAGTGTGTTTGAATTTGAGTGCAACCGAACATTTTGTTTTAAGGTCTTATTTTAAATTTGAGGTATCCTATCATTTAGAAAGGCAGTTTAACAGCATAAAGAGCACTGCACACTGAAAAAGCCAACACCTTTTTAAGAGTGCATCTAAATGGTAAACAAAAGATGAACTGCTTGTTAATATTGTGAAATATATTGTAGGTGGCAGGTAGCATTTGATATCAAAGTACATCAGTGATCTTGTGTGATCTTCACTTGTCATTGATTGCACTTTTTGGTGCCAAAGCATGTGTGAACAGGTCTGGAATGAAGGGCCAAGTAGAGTATTGCAAAATCCATATCAGCCTGCAAACTGCCAATCACTTTGAAGAAACCATGAACGCTGCAAGCACAAACTAGTAGCGTACAGGAAGTGCACAAATGTTGTGAAATTGAGGTCAAGGGAATTCAGAAAGACAGGAAAAGAAATAGTTCGTTCCAAGGACAGTAAATCTCTGCCATGCTTTGCACGTCTTAGAAAGATTTGAAAGGATGTTTACACAAGAGTCCTGTTACTGAATATTTGAGAAGACGGCCTGTTATGTGAGAGATGTTGATGTTAAGAGAGTCTAAACCTTTGATGCTTAACAATACCACAAAAGATTTTTTAAAACATACAGCAAATCTAAGGACAGTTAATCCAGTCCCACACTTGTTTACACTGGATATCTTATCCAAATTGAGTAATTCAGAGGCTCCAGTTAAGAAAAATAAACTCTTAAAATAAAATAAATTGGCTATTTGGATTACTGGATAGTCTTTTGTGTAATTAATCACTAGGGTACATATTTACTATTCATTTTGTTTGCTTTCGCAATTGTTCAGAACAAGATGCATTGGATTACATAAGAAAATAAATGTCTCTATATACTTTTTGATCAGATGTTGCTCAACGAGCAGTTTTTCTGATCTTTCTTCCTTTTTTTAACCACAGCACTGATTCTGAAGCACACACTGATTTATGTCAGACCTGTTTTCATGAATTATAGAGGTGTACACAGGCAATGTATATTCTCTTATTAAAGCTTAGGAATTTCAAAAATCCATGTCACAGTTCATAAAATGAAAAAGTAAATGTATTGCATAAAGATTTTTTATTGTTTTTTGCATTATAGACTTTGCATTAGTCTATAATGTTATGACTTTTTTTTTCTACATTTTCTCATTCTCATTACCATATGCATTGGGACATTTATATCTTTTTTGATGTCCTGCTATTTTTAATTGTAATTCCTATATTTCTATATTAATGCACTGATGCATAAATACTTCCTAATATATAATTTTCAAACAGTATTTATTTATTGTTGCATCACAGTAATGAGAATTTGAGAGGAAAGTGTACTTAACTGTCATGAAAATATTATATAAAAATATAATACAATGTATTTTTCAAGTAGCATCTGTAATTCATGTGACGTTATATGAAATGTTACGTATCATATTAGCAAAGTACAATATATTTGTCATGTATGAGCTCAAACAAAAAGATAATATTAACATGCAATCAGCTAACAATAAATCACATGCAATGCTTGATAATTAAACCTCATGCTGCAAATGATTGCAGTGGAGTACAATAACAATTTCAGATCTATATGTCATGTTATTGAGTAATATAAGGTTTAGTAACATGACATGTATCTAAATATGATTTAGAAGGTCAAAGGCATGTGTGTGTAACTACAAAACACTATTATGCCTGTAAAAACAGCATCTTGGCAGATCTCCTCCATTCCTGATATGAATGTGCCATGGCTTGTTTCCCTTATCAGGAAAAATAAAGATGATTAATTCTATAGAATGGAATAATCGCGGATACCACAAGCTTTTTATAAAGCACCACGCTAATTAGGATTAACTGCTGATTAGCACTTAATCCTTTGCGTCATACATTCAATGTAAACCCTGACTGAGATCAGCAAATGATTGCTAAGTAGCAATTCAGCTATTTAAATGGAAACAGATGGCTGTCGAGTCCATCAAATTAAACATAAAATCTGTCAGGCTTTTATAAAAAATACATGTGAACTTTGTTACATAAGGCCAGAACAGCCAGTAACCAGTGTATTGCAAGTATTTACTTCATATGACACTCAACCCAAAGCTGTGGCTCAGACAATATCAAACAAGCAATATTCTCAAACATTCAACTATTCAGAGATACAAAAATGTATCAAATGTTTTCCTAACCGTTAAGTATTAGCCATATCTCCATATTCAACTTGGCAACAGTAAATGACCACTTATGGATTGACTGCAAAATAAAAACATCCTCCATTAGAATTACATGTGTATGATGAATCCAAATGTGCACGCAATCTCTGCTGCTAATATATGAAATGTTTTGATTTGCATATATTGGCTAATAGGTTGTTAAAAGGAAAGCAGCTGTATCCTCATTGAGGTCTAAAAGTCTGAGCCCTCAGTGAGAAGGGTTTATTGTTGTTAAAAAAAATTAAAACAAAGTGACATACAAATAAACAAGAAGTTTTACAAATTTAAGTATTTGCACAAGTGGTCTCAGACCTTGGACCCCATTGGACCCTGGAGATTTTGTAAAATAGAACACAAAAACTATGCGGTACAACTGATTCATTCTGATTAATATGAGTATATTTCCGTTATAATGATTCAATCCCGTTTTTGAGCTATTCATTAAAAGAACCATTCGTTTCGGGAATCAAGCTACATTTGTTGAGCTGTATGTTTTTGATTCGTTAAAAACAACCGGCTCATAAGAACCGGCTCATAATTCGTTTCAGGAATCGGGCTGCACCTGTTGCACCGCATGTTCGTGATTCACTAAAAAGAACCGGTTCATTCATTTTGGGAATCAGGCTGCACTTGTTGAGCTGTTTGTTTTTGATTTGCTAAAAGGAACCAGCTCGAGACAGTCATTAGTTCCAGGAATCGGGCTACACTTGTTGCTCTGTACATTTTTGATTCATTAAAAATAACTGGCTGGTCAAAATGATTTAATTTCGGGAATGGGGCTACACTTGTTGAGCTGAATATTTTTGATTCACTAAAAATAATCAGTTCATTCATTTCGGGAATCAGGCTGCATTTGTTGTGTTATATGCTTTTGATTCGCTAAAACGAACCGGCTTATAAGAAACTTTCGCTTCGGGAATCAGGCTACACTTGTTGAGCAGTATGTTTTTGATCACTAAAAAGAACCAGCTCAAGAGAGTCATTAGTCTCGGATATCGGGCTACACTTGTTGCTATGTACATTTTTGATTCATTAAAAGAACTGGCTCGTGAGAATGATTTCGTTTCAGGAATCGGGCTATTCTTGTTGTGCTGTCATTAAACAACAGTTCTGTCAGGACCACTATCGTCAAAGATGATTGACAATTAGCATACAGTTTGGATTGGCGGTATGGTTCTGTTCTGGGCAAGAACTCCCTGCGCATCCATGCAGCCTAGCATGGATGAGAGCAGGGAGAGCAGCAATAACCCCCCCAGGGTAAACAGAACAGAACTAACATAAATGTATTGCAAATAAAGTTCAATCATTTTATGTACACATTTTAGAATTAGTCTGATTCAAGGAGAATCAGAAGGCTGAATCCCGACTGACAGAGGAGGAGCTGGGGATGGAGGAGGGTAATTAGCTATTGAGCAATGCGAAAACTGCTGATAATACTGAGGGACCTTATATATGAATGCTTAGATAGGTGTCGTATTCCCATAGGTAGATGGGGATCAGCTGAAGGTCAGCTGATGCGAGCTTGACTAACGTGACCTGCCAGAACTAACACTACGCTTGATATTCAGCAGCAGATAAGCACCAAAACACTAATAAGGGAACCTTCTAACTTGGTATATTACAAAAAATATTATAGAAAGTAAAATACTCATCTTGGGATTGATTCTGGGATGCTGGGTTTCACAACAACAACAAAAAAAACAGCACAACTTCATACATGTAAATTCATTACTTCCTGAAACATGGCATCAAACACATTATCCACCCATGAATCATTCAACACTTGTCTTCATAGGATGTTACACACTGCCGAAGGATTGTGCTTAGCCGTTGCGTTGTTGGTCCAGTATTTCTTGGTACCAAAATCCTCTGGGTACAGGGCGGAATATCCTACCGCTTCCACGGATCTCCTCTTCTGGATGCGGTGCAGCAGGATACGATAAGTTCCTGTTATTGGGCTGCGGCAGTCAGTGCAGGTTTTATTCTGCAGATGTGTGCCACTGATGCCCAGCTCGCTCAGGGCTGACTTCACTTCCTGTTCCTCCATGCACAGGCTCTTCGCGGGGTCAGCTAGGTAATTAGGTGTCGCATTGAAAGCAGGATAGGGTTTGGGGTATTCGATGCCCTTCAGCCAGCAGCATAGCATCAGCTGCGACACCGAGGTCCGGTCCACAGGTACGGGTCTCAGCATGCCTTTGATGGCCAGTTGACAGGACTCAGGGACGTAGGGCGGGATGCTGTACGCCCCCTGCAGGATGCAGCGTTTCAGTCGGCCTAAGTTGTCACCGTAGAAAGGCATGGTGGCGGTCACCATAAAGTAGAGTAGGACACCCAGCGCCCAGATGTCCACATAACGGCCCATGTAGCTTTTGTCTCTGAACAGCTCAGGTGCCGCATACGGCGGGGAGCCGCAAAACGTGTTCAGGGTTTCGGTCGGCTCACTGACAACACTGAAACCGAAGTCACCCACTTTGATGCAGTAGCAAGTGGTGTAAAAAATATTTTCTGCTTTCAGGTCACGATGGATGATGTTGTTTTCATGCTGAAAAATAAACAACGAAATAGATAGATCCATTAGACTGAATCATACTGTGTAAAATGAAACACATACAAATTCATAATTAGAGAAAATGCTTATACTGTACCATGTAAACAAACTGGTTCAGAATGTAAACATGTCATATAATGGAAAAATGTCCACTTTAAATTAAATCAATTACAGAATTTAATCAATTATTATTATCAAATGTTTTTATTGTAAATGTTCTTAACTAAAATATAATTCTTGACCTATACACTACCGTTCACAAGGTTGAGGTCTGTAATATTTTTTTTTTATTTTTTGAAAGAAGTCTCTTCTGCTCACCGAGGCTGCATTTATTTGATCAAAAATAAAAACAGTGATATTGTGAAATATTATTACAATTTAAAATAACTGTTTTCTATGTAAATATATTTTAAAATGTAATTTATTCCTGTGATCAAATTTGAATTTTCAGCATCATTCCTCCAGTCTTTAGTGTCACATGATCTTTCAGAAATCACTCTAATATACTGATTTGCTGCTCAAAAAACATTTCTGATTATTATCAGTGTTGAAAACAGTTGTGTTGCTCAATATTATTTTAAAAACCATGATGTAGAAACATTTTATTCAGGATTCTTTGATGAATAGAAATCTTTTGTAACATTATAAATGTCTTTACTGACATCTTTGATACATTTAATGCTGAATTAAAGTACTAATGTCATTTAAAAAAAACTAAAAAACAATCAATATAAAATCTAAACCCTAAATGTTTGAACGGTAGTGTTAATTCAGTTCAAATTTTCAATTTTTTCAGTTAAAAAAAAAAATAGATATCCAATCTACCTCTGACCAGTAATATTGATAAAAAAAAATAACTATCAAAAAAGATATTGTATGCGCTCCAAAAAGATAACCAGTCCATTCTCAGGTGCGTAAAACAAGAAAAATTTGATCAACCAAAAAACAAAAATGTCCGCACACTGAAAGACGTACAATTAGAGCACTGAAGAAAGCATGAGCTGAAACATCTTTTCACTTTTTTGCACTTTTGTCACCCTATAGATGTTAAATTAAAGTAATGTTTGTGATAGACCCTTGCCTTGGTCTAATTGTATGTCTTTCAGTGTGCAGACGTTTTTGTTTTTTGGTTAAAAAATAAATAAATACAAATTTCACTAAAATAGTCTAATTGAATTGAACAAATTACCGAAATTCAAGTCTCATAATCTATGTTTATAGGACTTTCCAACCCATTTAATTAAAACTAACAAGTCTAATTGCTTAGACATGTAATAGAACACCTCTTCTCAATAAATCACACAGTTTGAGGTATAATTCACGTCTTTAGCATGTGCAGGATGGTTGATGACCTCCGTGAAGTTGGCCCCCCACCCAACGCAAAACGTCGGCAAAATAGTCTCAATCGTTTGTGCTTCGTTTGTGCTGTAAACATTTTCGTTTGTGCTGCTTCGTAAATATTATTTGAATATCTAAAAAACCGAAGCAGCACAAACGAAACTTTTTACAGCACAAACGAAGCACAAACGATTGAGACTATTTTGCCGACGTTTTGCGTTGGGTGGGGGGCCAACTTCACGGAGGTGCTATACGGTTGTTTTGACCCAGCGGTTGGGTCAAAACAACCCAACCGCTGGGTTTGTCCCTTTTTAACCCAGCGCTGGGTTATATTTAACCCAGCATTTTTTAGAGTGTACCTTTTTTCAAGTCAAGTCACTGTAAAAAAAAAAATTGTTGAGAAAAGGTAAAAATCCAATTCAACTTGATGCGTTCGGATTTTTAGGCTCAACTGTTGTCTTAATAACTGTACTAAGTTTTGTGACTTTGAATTTGTTCAGTAAATGCACAATGCCTAATTCAGCCAAGGCATTCTTAAGTAACAGTAATTTTGACATATACTCTTATAGGACACTTAATATATTACATCACAACACAACAAATAACTAACAATAGTGACAAAATAATAACAAAATTTTAAAAGAAGTCAGCAAACAGCAAAACAATAATCCTTTAAGAATAACCACATAATTTATTCATGCTGCAATGCAACATTTGGGGGAATTCTGTTGCTTTGACATGGGTTTTTATGTAGTATTTGAGATTCAAAGTTTTTTTTTTTTTTTTACAGTTTAGGTAGGTGTATTTACATTATGTACAGTTTTTGTCCCCTGTAAATTTAAGCGCAATCTATAAAACCTAAAATGTCGATACTCTATTTTTATAGTGAAGTTCAGTCAACCACAGCTGACATTCTTTTCTTTCTTTTTTTACCATAAATTTCACTTTTTTTTTTCTTTTCTTTTTTAATTAAAGACTTAACCTATAATGTAAGACTTGCGTGACACCAGCATATTGAAATAACATTTCGAACACTGTTTTGGAATATTGCATAGTTGCATCCCTCTAGATGTTCTTGTATAATCCTAATCCATGCCTGCATGTCCTTTCTATTTTAGTTCAAATGTCCAGTATGTCTGCACTGGAGGCAAGATCAGGCTTGCAAGTCTGAATAGAAAAGTCTTTAAGAAGGGTGGATTAGGAGCCACGTTAAGACCATGCATCACAGGTTGCAGACTCGACACACTTCTAAAAATACACAGGATATCCACTGAACTATTTTCAATATCAGTAACACCAATGCTGCAGGAAGAAAACAATAGTTGGGAATAAGACTTAATTTAATCACACTATTTTTCATTAATGACTTTTGCTGCCTTTAATTAAAAAAAATTGCACTGTAACACCAAAAAAAAATCTAAGTGTCATAATTAGCACTTAAATTCTACAAAACAACACAATTATTTTCCACCAACATCTTTTGTACTCTGAAACTGAATCTTAAAAAACAACTGTGTTTAGGAGCAAATATTAAGAGTTGAAATTAAATATTTATTAACTAACAAAATTCCAAATCAATGAAAAAATGATGAGATCTTATGCATATCCAGTGTAATTAATATGCCGTTAATAGAGGATCACGTTAATTTGTCTTGTAAGAAAATTATCTTTATCATTATCATTATTCTCGGTTGATATATTATTCATAATCTATGCAACCTGACACATAACCACTGCTCAAAAAACAGGTCTTAAAATGTATAGCCCTAAGAGATGGTTTATTTCAAAAAAAAATTTTTTATATTTTTCTGCTTGATTACAAACTCTCCCTATACTCTATTCCATGAAGAAATAAACTTTACCTGGTAGCTGTGGATCCTTCATGCTGGTGTATGTATGAATGATCGTAGAGAACAGCACAACAACCTCTCACTCTACAGTCTTCAATCCTCCAGCGATCACCAGCACTCATTCCAATTAGATGGACGTAATAATAGATTAGATTAGATTAGATTCAACTTTATTGTCATTGTGCAGAGTACAGGGTCAATGAAATGCAGTTAGCATCTAACCAGAAGTGCAAATAGCCAGTGTATATAAATAAGAGTAAATACGTACAGTGGGTAAACAAAAGAATCAAACCCCTTTAAATTGGTTAAACCCACATTTGGTTGCTTTGCAGTCTAAAATGAAGATGGACACAGTTTTTGTTTTATCCAGCTGTATTTACTCAGTGCAACTTATAACATCCAAGTGAAAGATATAACACCAACATGTCAGGAAATTAAAAATAACAAAACAGAATCACTGAGTTGGAAAAAGGATCACCCCCTTGTGTCAGTATTTTGTTGAACCACTTTTTGCTTTAATTTTGCTTTACAGTCTTTAGTCTGTTGGGAAATGTCTCCGTCTCTACTAACTTTGCACATCTAGACTTTGCAATATTTTCGTGGCCTTTCTTGAGGAGTGGCTTTTTTCTTGCAACCCTCCCATACAAGCCACAAACTTGATTATGGAGTTAGAGCCATGTACAGTTATGCAGTCGTGGGTGAAAAGGGAGTAGAGAATTGGGCTCAGAACACAGCCCTGTGGTACGCCAGTGTTCAAGGTGAGGATGGAGGAGTTGTAATTATTAAGCTCAGATTTGTTGAGTGATTCTGTGTTTCCACGATTGATGCGAGCATGAAAGATGTTCAGCTCACCTGGGAGTGTGGCATTACTGGTTGGGGGAGGGGTGCTATTTGATGGTTTGTAGTCTGTGAGGGCATGTGCCTGTCCACATAATGCCGAGGATCATTGTTGTTGAATTTATCCTCAATCCGCCGTTTGTAATTATGTTTAGCAGCTTTAATTCCCCTCTTCAGATTGGCCCTGGATAAACTGTATAGGCTTCTTGGTTGCCAGATTTGAAAGCTATGTCACGTGCTTTTAGCAGGAGTCTGACTTCCATGTTCATCCAAAGTTTCTGATTGGGGAATGTTTTAATTATTTTATGGGTGTATACTTTATCGCCATACCTGTTAATGTGGTATAGAACAAGAGCTGGTGTAGATACTAATGTCTGTGAGTGAGGTACGCCAGTGTTCAAGGTGAGGATGGAGGAGTTGTAATTATTAAGCTCAGATTTGTTGAGTGATTCTGTGTTTCCACGATTGATGCGAGCATGAAAGATGTTCAGCTCACCTGGGAGTGTGGCATTACTGGTTGGGGGAGGGGTGCTATTTGATGGTTTGTAGTCTGTGAGGGCATGTGCCTGTCCACATAATGCCGAGGATCATTGTTGTTGAATTTATCCTCAATCCGCCGTTTGTAATTATGTTTAGCAGCTTTAATTCCCCTCTTCAGATTGGCCCTGGATAAACTGTATAGGCTTCTTGGTTGCCAGATTTGAAAGCTATGTCACGTGCTTTTAGCAGGAGTCTGACTTCCATGTTCATCCAAAGTTTCTGATTGGGGAATGTTTTAATTATTTTATGGGTGTATACTTTATCGCCATACCTGTTAATGTGGTATAGAACAAGAGCTGGTGTAGATACTAATGTCTGTGAGTGAGACCAGTGTGGCCTGACAAGCACTGGAACTCATGTTGTCTGCTTCCTCTAGCCATACTTTTACAGTCCTCACAGTGGGTTTCACACGTTTGATGATGGGGGTATATTTGGGGAGCAAGAACAGGGATAAGCGGTCAAATTGTCCAACATGGGGGAGGGGAGTTACTTTGTATGCATCGGGGATGTTTGTATAAACATGATCAAGAGTGTTGTCTCCTCTTGTAGGGCAAAATACATTTTGATGAAATTTGGGGAGTGCTGTCCTAGTTGTGCTGTCTTAGCATCCGGGGGTACATAAACTGATCAGCAGGAACAGTGGGATTTAGTAATAACAGCACCAAGCTCTGTTTACAGATGCAAACGCCCCCACCTTTGCTTTTACCGGAGTCCACAGCTGTTCTATCAGCTCTGTAGATGTAGCACCCTTCTAGCTCAATCGCACTGTTTGGGACTGTGTTATTGAGCCATGTTTCCGTGAGAAATATCCAATGTAACACACCCCAATGGAGCTGCGGAAATGCTGCATGCAAACAGCCGATTCGTGCAAAAAATACTAATACTAAGCTTACAACACGGCACTACAGATACAGGAAATGGAAATTACACATGTAATGACTATTTTCTAGCAGTGATTTTAAACATCTAGTTCTTAACTGTATTAAAATGAAAACTTAACTTTTAAAACTAGGCCTAATTTTTAAACTAGATGATTAAACTGCATTCTGAGGACAAAATATTCTCAATAAAAATCAGATTGGGGCATGTTTCATTGCAGTCAAATGTGTGCTTTATGTTTGAATTACAATTTCTGTTGGCCAAAACAATGGATTTATATTTCTGTATTTACTTTATTTGTCTTTTTTAAATTTCATGAAATTATTTGAATGAATGAAGGATTTATATAGCACTTCATTGTGTATAGCTGCACACCCAAAGCGCTTTACAATCATAAGAGGGGTCTAATGGCAGGTTCCCATTTTGTGACAACTTACCTAATTTACTCCAGAAAATTATTTTTTTTTCATGGGCAATAATGATGGAAAAGTTTAACCCTTGAATTCCACAAATTCCTCAAACTTTAACTTGTTCTCAATGTCATTTTCATATTTCTTGTTCATAGGATGGGGGGAAATGTGTATCACTACCCCAAGTGGGTCAAATTGAATATGTTTTGAGGTTCACATATAGTACAGTTAATATGCAACATGTCAAAAGCCTAGTCAAAGTTTAGATGTAATATTAAATAGGCATTATAATACAATAAACACCCAGTTTATGTAAATATTACAATAAATACCCAGTTGATGCTGTTTGATTATGGCTTCGAAGGTCGAAGCTTCGTGGAAGCTGCTAGCCCCGGCTGGCCCCTTTAGCCCTTGTGTGTGCAGTAAAAATGCGGCTAATAATTTCTGACTGGCATAACTGAACAAACCAAACAAACGTAAACGGGCCAAGGCAGGGCCCCCTACAAGCCTGGGCCCATGGGCTGCAGCCCAGTCAAGAACAATGGTAAGTTCGGCCATGCTGAATAGCTATATTCATCAAAAGCTAATTATTCAAGGAATACTACAGTAGTCTTTCATGGTACCATGGTACTATGTGATGACAAAACAATGAAAATGAATTCTGAGGTAATGAGGCATGAGATTAAGGGTGTGTTCACACTTCTCATGAACCCTGGTGCGATTGCTCTGTTTCATTTGAGTAAGTGTGAACGCTGCCATCCGAACCCTGGTGCGCACCAAACAAGCAGACCGAGATCGCTAAAAAGATGGTTCTCGGTCCGCTTCCAAACCAACTCTGGTGCGGTTCGAATGAAATATGAATGCATCACAGACCAAACACTTCTAAACAAACCAAAAACAGGAAGTAATGACAAGATGCGACGATATGCGACATGATTTAACGACGCGGAACGAGCCGTACCATCTAAAACAAAATGAGCAGAGGGCAAACATGGAGCAACGAGGAGGTAAAGTGGCTTTTATGAGCTCTTCGTGAGGTCACAGGTGGTGGAAATAAAATCATAAGTACACGCAGCAATGAGTCCAGCAGACGGTATTATGTGTGTTCGACTTAAAGCGGCGCTGAGCAGACAGATCTCTGAATGGGTACTTTGATCGGTCTGCACAGCACCGCTTTAAGTCGAACACAGCTTTTGTTTGGGGTATTCGGTGAGTTCCGTCACAAAATATACGTCATTCAACCCGACCAATCAGGTTGTGAACGTATCACTGTGCCTTTAGGTTCGGTATCTTTAGATTCGCTGTCAAAAATGCCAGTGTGAACGCTCAGCGGACCAGAACCAAATGTATAGTTTTCTTTTTTGGTCAGGACCAAACGAACCAAGAGAACCGAACTACAAGTGTGAACGCACAGGAATGGTTTTAGATTTAAAATAGGCTTTAAACATTATTCCGATTATTTACTCCAATATTTACTTTGATTCAGAAAGTCCCTCAAATCAAAATTCTTTTTTTTTCCCCTTGTATGCAGTCAGTATTCTGTTGTTATCACCAATCAGTCTCTCTGAACTGAGGAAACAACATGTCATCTGTGATCGATTAAAAATCATCCTTCCTGGAAGTGCGTTTAATTTGTCAATGGCGCTGTTTAATGGACTTTAACTGACCTATACTGGACAGAATGAGTTGACCCGCTAAAATGACGTTGCGCTGTGACGTCTGTTCCGCCGTCCGCCTCGAGGTTGTGTTTACAGTCAGATTTGGCGGGAGAAGATTAGACAATCCGCTTTCGGTTTAGGTTACGTTCTGTTAAGAGCCGCGTGCGTCAATGGCGGCGACTGCTCCTGCAGCTCCCGCGGAGTCGGAGGTGGACCGCAGCCGAGCTGAGGACGACCCCCGAAGCGCCGAGCCGGAGGAGGACGGGGGGAATGGGCAAGCTGGGCCCACCGCGGGCGCACAGCAGCAGCACCGCCTCGCCAAGTTACCGCTGTCCCGCATCAAAGCTCTGATGAAAGCCGATCCGGACGTGAGTCTGGCCAGTCAAGAGTCTGTGTTCATCATAGCTAAAGCCACGGTGAGATACACACACATACACGTGCTGGATTCGTCTCTTTTCCCTCCCTTCGTCTTTCTAACTCCAGTTCTGTCTGTCTCTTTGTGTCAAATATACAATTTTACTTCTATTTCTTTCTCTCTGCCTACACTCTGTCTCGTTTATATTTTTTTTCTGTAAACATAATAATAATAATGTGAAAGCTTTTTCTGAAATACAAAATGTACAAAAACATTTTCTGCATAAAATTACATATATTTACAACAAAAAAAAAAAGCTGGAAATTTAACAGGCATAATATAACTCCATTTATAAATGCTTGCTAGAAAACATTACTGATTGGTATTGGCTTGCACTTTTTTATTGATGTAATTTTTGCAATTTCAATAAAACCATTTGTATGTTAGCCAGCTAGATAACATGATCTTGATGACAAACCAACAGATTTTGCAACAGCAGTATAGAATGGATCACAGAAAACCAAACAGTTATGTTTTCAAGGCATAAAAATGGACGTGCAAAATCAATGAATGTAAGATTTTCTATTTCTCTCTCCTTTTGCCTGTCAGTTTTAGATCTTTAGGTCTATGTATTCATGGTTTTGTTTGTCTGAGTTTGTGGTTGTAAAATCTTTATTTTATCGCAAATGTAATATGACTAAATATTAATAACTAAGCACTCAAATCCGAGGACTCGGATAAAATTCTCTATAAAGTGTGACATTGACCGCCAATTACTGCAATTGCCTTAGCAATGAAAATTCAAATTAAGTTCTCACAGTGCCAGAAAAATATGACTGGTGCTATCATGTATAAGAGAGGAGGTATTAAAACATTTTGATACTAGTTTGTCTGGGTTTGTCACATGCATGGATACAGTGCTTGTCTGTCTGGATATTCTGAATTGCAGTTCAAACTAGGCTAGATTTGTTGATATGAAAACCTTGATGGGGCCGTTGCTTGAATTCACAGGGCCAAGGACAAAAATGTATGGATGGCCCCTCCGATACACTCGGGTGGGTAAAGACGGTTGTATCGCAGTTAATAAAATGGTACTAATTATTTGTCTGCCTGCAGGAGCTTTTTGTTGAAATGATCGCCAAGGACGCTCTTGTTTATGCACAACAGGGAAAGAGAAAAACTCTGCAGCGCAAAGACTTGGGTAAGTTATAAGTTAAATTCTAAAATAGATTAAATAGAATTTTAACAAAAAAAACAAGTGGTATTTTATTGATGCTGTAATGATTGGTGCTTTTTCTCTTTTGGCAGACAATGCTATTGAAGCAATAGATGAATTTGCGTTTTTGGAAGGTAAGGGAGTCGTAATTTAATGTTATTTCCTGCTGGCAAAGGTCTAAAGGAGTGGGAAAGAGTTTTATGGAATATTTTGATTGCCTATATTTCTTTCCTCCCTTCAAACCTCATTTTCCAAGAATGGCAAACCTAAAACCAAACAATATTCTGCCATGGTGGCAGATTATATGTGACCACGAAGACCTTTGATTCTAGGAATTCAGAAACAAAGGCAGTTGGTAATAACATGGCTGTTTCAATAAAGATATTCTGATTCGTTGTCTAGAGTTCGGTTCGCTTGTTTTTTGTGAAAGTCCATCAGTAACCTGCAGTGAATCGGCTCACAAAGGTGGTCTGAGTACAGTTGATGATTCACAGCATGAATGCAATCTGTCCTAAATTGCTGAAAGATCTTGTCCTAAATTATTAGTTACAATGATAAACAGTTGCAACAGTGTTACTTTGGCTGCTGATGCTACAGTTTAGACCCAAAAGTATAATGTGACATGCAACCTATGAAGGGGAATTGAATCAAACTTTGGTGGAATGAAGCAATTCAACCATGTGTAAGCAAGGTCATGTCTTTAAATTCAACTATTTGCTTTCTGTATCACTCTTGTGTAGGTACCCTGGACTGACTGAAAAGGTGCATAGATATGAATATAAAGACTGTCAACAAGTTCTGAAGTTTCGTTTCAGATTTGAGAAATCAAAAGAGAGGAGAAATCGCTGAGACATGTTATTTTTTCATTGTGATGTTGGTAATGCTTTAGCAGTTTGATAAAATTGTATGGTTGTCAAAGTTGTAAAGTGCAAATTGTATTTTTCAATATTCGAAGATTCTTAAAACAATGTTTAGTGTTTAAATAAAGTGAAGCTCTTTTATCTCTTTCTCAAGAGTGTTGTGTGTACATTGTGTGAGAGGGACAAAAAAAATATTTGTATTTTTTTTTTTTTTTTTTTGAGTGTTTCTTGCATTGACACATGTTCGGTTATCAGCAGAAAGTCTGGTCTGCAAATTATTCTTCCCGCTAAAACCAGAAGAGATCTTTTGACCAACATGTGAATAATGAATAACAGTTTTTGTTTTTACATGCCATAAATGTGATCGATCATATTACAGTGATTGGAAATGGAAACATTCAAATTATGGCTTCTCTATGAATAATTGTAAAAAAACAACAACAAAAAAAAACATTTTTTAAAAATACCGTAAAATGCATGTAGGCTTTGTCTAAAATATATGCCCATCCAAAATTAATTAGTATCCATTACACAGACAGAAAATAAACCCGAACATATTTGATGGCACTAACCTGGCAAACTGTGATCAGTTCTTTTTTGAAAGTGCTTATAGTTATAAGGCCTTTTCTTACTGCAAAAACTATTAATTTAAAGAACTAATTTCGTTTCATTTTGGCACCTTTTTGAAACCTAAAATGACAAATGGGACACCCTATGTTGTAGACTTGTGGACAAATCATTGAGAATTAAAGTCCACAGCCGCTATATGCAAACAATAGTTTTTAAAACAATTTTGTTTTTATTGGGTTATGCAGTGACTTCTGGTGGTTGTGTAGAAAAAAAAGTCTGACTGAAGCTTGTAATTTTTGCTTGTGCTTTGAAGGTTTGTGTTCAATATGCACCAGACAGTCAGTGAAGGACTATGAACAGTGTGCCATCTGAGGCTATACCATAATCAGACCGTCAGACTACCGCAATTTCCAGGATGAGATCACTGTTTACCTGTAAATATCTAGGACTTTATCTTCAGGCATGGAGCTTAAAGACAATATTTTACATGCCAACGTACCCAAAGATTTTTATGAATCACCAGTTCAGGAGGAACTGAGTAGAATGTGAACAATCATCACAGCATAGCATGTGTCTTTCCTGAGATTTATCTAAAGCATGTCCCCAGGGGAAAACAGTCTGCCTTGAATGGATAGTCCTGGTGGCCTCGCAGTGTGAGAGATGCTGTCGATCCAGCAGAAATAAAAACGTTGCCAAAAAATTGAAAACCAATATTTTACGTTAGTTAAGTTGGCTTTCTGTCTTGATCCAGGAAATAAAGTTAATTAATTTTAGATTAAGACAAGCAAGTATGTGAGTCATCACATGAGCAATTTAAACCATGATGAAGAACTCTAGTATGCATGCTGAGAATTCTTTGCATAGTTGTTTTTGTGTGGATGGGTTTTTGTAATGTGCTCCAATGACAAGTTAACAGAAAGACACTGTATTGCAAGGGACTGAACTCACCAACTGCAAAATTCAGTATCATTGTTCTATGGAGAGCTCAGAGTATTTATTAGTATTCATCAATATTGCTATTGCTCACACTTAGGATTAGGAATTTGAATAAACCCTTAACCCAAAGTATTAAATGTTCACATGACATGTTCTTCATTGTTTGTGCTACATTAACACTACAAGTCATATGGCTTTTGAGAAAAGAGGGTTCATTTGTGTTTAATTGGTAATCCATAAAAGCAGACTACACTGTAAAAAATTACCGTGAATTTAACGGTAAAAGACTGTAAAACTGCTACAGTAAAAACCTGTTAAATGGTTAACGGTAAATTCCCCTACTATATACGGTGAAAAACTGTATTGGACATTACATGTAATTTTATGGTAGTATACCGTTTTTGGAAGTGAAAAGGCCCATATAATTTACAATGAATAACCGTAAATTGACATTCCCAGAATTCCCTGCATTACATTTCAAATTTGATTAACTGTAAATTTAAGTTAAAACCATAAAACCTAAAATGTTGCTGCCGTATTTTTTACGATAAAATTCCGGCAACCACAGCTGCCGTTTTTTTACCGTAAATTTTACGGAATATTTTTTACAGTGTAGAATGCAATGTTTTGATAAGAGCCACAACAAATTAGTATTCACAATGAAACAAGCTAAAGCATTCAGAATAACTGAATAACCACGTCTCTGCATTGTGGCGAGTTTAGCATAAGCAAAGACTTAGATTTCATTTAGAAGATCTGGATTTAAATAATCAGATCCTTAAGATTTTAGAATTGTATCATTATTGCAGTGATTAATATGTTTCCAACATGTTTTGCAACAATTCTTTTAACCCTAACTGATGCAGTGTGTAGCTTTTAATTTCTTAAACAACCATGCTGAAAGAGGTACCCATGTCCATATTCCAGGATGACAATGCCAAGATTCATCAGGCTCAAACTGTGGCCATCACAGAGTCCTGACCTTATTGAAAGTCTTGGAATGTGCTGGAGTTGACTTTATCTGCCTATCCAAAAAAAAAAAGGTTGCACACTCTAATATTTTGTTGGAGCGCCTTTAGATTTGATAACATTGTGCTTTCATTGTGGCATTGTTTTGACAAACTTATGCAACATCACAACATTTATTTCCATCAAGAGTTGGCTTGAGTTTTTGGCAGAGATCTAGTATTGACAATAGGCGAGTCCTATCAAAAAAAAACTTTCAAACAGGTTAAGCTCAGGACTACTCACGCTCCTTAAACCACTGTTTCACAATTTGGGCCCAATGAATCTTGAGATTGTCATCCTGGAGTATGGACATGGATACGTCTTTCAACATGGTTGCTTAAGAAATAAAAAGCTACGCACTGCATCAGTTAGGGTTAAGAATGCCAGAAACATATTAATCACTGCAATAATGATCCAATCCTAGACTCTTCACTAGTTGCTTAATTAAATCCAAATGGCGACTTTTTTTGGCCAGGCAGTGTAGTTTGACATATGTTGAATTTACAGAATCTGAATATTATGAATCCATAACCTAAGATGATGCAGGTGTTTTCACTTAACAAACATGTTACCTGACAAGGACAGCTCATCTGGATTAGGTTTCTGGCTCATGGGCAATGGTTCAAACTTGCCACCTCTCAGTCACTATCCTCAATTTTTTCCCACTAGGAATACTCAAGTAAATGGAACAAACTTCCCCCAAATACTCAAACAGATGATGCTGTTTGATTAATGTAAAAGTTGTGTGCATTTGTCAAATGCACTTTGTCAAAAAAACTTGCTCTTGGTTCATTAAATGATCAGTTTTCTTTGAGCAGCAGCTGAAATGTTTCATTCGATGAGATACCTTAATTGTCAACGAGATATGGGGGCAAGATGAGATATTGGCCCATGGAATCAAGTGAGGTCATGGACAAGGTATGTTTTTGCAGCTGAATTCTTGCATGCCTTACACACCCACCTTGGACACGCAGATGGCATATTTTCGATCTAATGATCTCAGGTATGCCGAAACCATAAAGTCCCAACAGTTTCTCCACATGACTCAAGAACTTGACATGAGGACGGGCTCTAAATGTCTGCACATGAGTATCCCTATTGATTCCTGATGTTTTGTTTGTTTGAATGTTTTCTCACACTCCTCCCTGCAAAACAGACCTCAGGACTGTATTTTATCCTGCTCCAACATTTTCAACTGCAATAAATCATAAGTTTGCCAAAAGTTGGGCATTTTAATGTAAGGTGTTTCCTTCTCTTCAGCATTCGACCTCAGACACATATATCATTGAAGAATGCTGTTTTTAATCTTCTTTCTTCTAATGTTGGAAGAATTCTGTATGTATTTATTATTGAGAGCTTTGCAAACTCTCAAGCAAACGGATGATGGGCTCAAAATTGCAGCGATTATGCCACGCATCGCACCAGCACTTGCACAGCTCAACGTGTTAATTGAAGAGAGTTGTGCATTTCTCAACAGTGAGGGGAGATGCTACGACTGTGAAAACAGCACACAAGGGGGGGAGTGAGGGAGATGTGGGTGTGGGTGTGTTAGCGTGTGAGAGAAAAAATAGGGGAAGGGAGGGAGAGAGGACAGAAATAAAAACAGCACAAGAAGACAGCAGACAGCACGGAGGAAAAAATCCCTCTGAGGTTCCACCATGTTCCTGCAGACTGTCTCCATCCTCTTCCTCTGGGCTGTCCTCTTCGGCTGCCTGGAAGGTAAGGTGAAACTCTCCTTAGCATCTGATTGTGATGTTGGAACGGGGCGGTTGGGACCAGATCTCGGCGGGAGGGAAAGAGGCATAATGCTATGATAGCCAGACCGGTTCAGGAGCTTCGGATGCTGGAGTTTCACGCATGTCTGAAGATATGAGGTGTGTTAAAACATGATGGGAGGCACAGGAAGCTCCAAAAAGGACAAAAAAGGAGTCCAAATTTGATTAAGACACATGATTTCTTCTGCAAACTGTTGAGCATGCCAGTTAATATGCACAGTTTATGATACTTAATGATGGGTTCCAGGTGTGATTCTGTGCTGAATTCTGTTGCCGGTTTTTGATTTCTGTCTATGCCAGGGAAGGGTGTGCAAATGCAGCGAGATGTTCAGTGCTGCATGCAGTACTCTCACGGCAAAGTCCGGACCAAAGACGTCCTGAGGTATGAGAGGCAAACGGAGGGGCCAGATTGCAGCATAAGAGCCATCATGCAAGTATTCCAGGCATCCTGGAGCAATCACAGACATGGAAAATATGCCCTATTTAAGCTCACAGGCATTGCTGTCTAAGCAGGTCAGATTTTTATTACTGAGAGCGGTAATTGTCAGGCAAGTAGAGCAAAAGAATGCACTCAGGCTGGGTGGACAATGCCCAAACTGTTTCTTCACAGAGGCCAATTTAGACTGCACTGACTTGAAGCGTAGCAGATTAAGAGATTTAGGATTTGCCTTATGTAAAGAGAGAGGTTTTGGGGGAGCTCTTGAGATCTTGGCGCTCACGTTCTCGCTTGTTTGAATCACGACAGATTGTACACCAAAAAGGCGGTGAAGTGCGCTGATCCAAGGGACAGGAAGGTGAAGAGGTTACTACGGAAACTGAACCAGAGGATGGGAGCCAAAGCCCGCAGGACCATGTGGCTACATCCACATATGAATCTACCCGTCATGTCGGAGGTAAGATCTCCGTGGATTTAAGGAAGTAACAGCATCAGTGTCCAAATAAAACTTATGCTCTGTGGTCCAGAAACTAAGTGGCTTGAGTGTAATTTTCTCTTTATTGACAGGTCGCAGTTGTTAACTCTCAAAAGATGAACAAGGTAAACAAGGTCTGCAGGATGCCATTTTAGTGTTTTTGTGGAAGTAAAAATTTTTCCATCGATAAATTGATTTCTAGAGATAATGTATCAACCTGACGGATGTACCATTAGATCAGAGGTTAAAGGGTTAGTTCACCCAAAAATAAAAATTAGCTTGTGTTTTACTCACCCTCGAAGCATCCTAGGTGTATGTGACTTTCTTCTTTCAGACGAATCCAATCAGAGTTATATTAAA